ACAAGTAGGACTCAGATCACTTTATTACATTTGGTATTAAAGTCGCTTTTGTGTATGTTTATCCATAGCCCTCAACAATAACTGATTAAGACCAGGTGCAGTGGCTCAGCCCTGTAATTCCAGCACTTTGGGAAGCCGAGGTGGGGGGGTCACAAAATCAGGAGATCGAGACCATCCTGGCCAACATGGTAAAACCCTGTCTCTGCTAAAAATACAAAAATTAGCTGTGCATGGTGGTGGGCACCTGTAATCCCAGCTACTCAGGAAGCTGAGGCAGAACTGCTTAAACCCAGGAGGCAGAGGTTGCAGTGAGCTGAGATCACGGTGCTGCACACCAACCCAGGTGACATAGCAAGACCCCATATCAAACAAACAAACAAACAACAACAAAAAAACTGATTAAATGTAATGGGAGAAAATTTTTAATTGATATTTTTTAGAATACTTATTTTAAATTATTCTAAACCTTAACCCTTTAACTTAAAAGTTCTTAAAACCCAAAGGCTTCATTTTATGGGAACTCTTACCCTTTAGCTCATGAAAAGAAAATGAAACATATTTATTTATTCCTAAATGAAAATAGCATACATTTTAACTGAAAACCTAATATCATCTAAATAAACAAAATTATCTTTAAAAGTACTGAAGACTGGAGACCCAAGCTAAAAATCAATTACAGTCATGCTCTGCTTAACGACAAGGACGCGTTATTTGACAATGGGGATATGTTCTGAGAAATGCCTGTCTACATTCTACTGAAACCAGAGACACAAAATTTCATGGAGCTAAGGGAATTAAATAATCATTACCAAAATATATTCATATCATCAGTACATTAAAACGCTTCAGAAGACACTTTAGAAGTGGATTATTGGTAGGGGGGAAAAAAATCACATGATTCTGCAGCATCCACAAGTGCCTGACTGAATCCACCAGAGGTCTGTTCAACCTTTCTAATTCTATTAAACTCTTAAACTACAAAGCTCGCTACATTGGCTTACATCATCTTTTGACTTTCAACATAGCAATAACAACAAAGGGCCATGTAGGGCTATTTGCTAATTTAAAAAAACAAAAACAAAAACAAACAAAACTTCGCCACCCAGGCTGGAGGCAATGGTACAATCTTGGCTCACTGCAACCTCCACCTCCTAGGCTCAAGAGATCCTCCTACCTCAGCCTCCTGAGTAGCGGAGACTACACACTTGGCTAATTTTTTTAATTTTTATTTTTGTAGAGATGGGGTTTCACCACGTTGTCCAAGCTGGACTTGCTGGGTTCAAGTGATTTGCCCACCTCAGCCTCCCCAAAGTGCTGGGATTACAGGCATTAGCCACCATGCCTGGCCTCTGTTAATCTTTTCATTGAGATTCACTAACATTAAAACCAAATCAAGTGCTCTAATTTGTTATGTTAAAAAACAAAACAGTGTTTAAATAGCTTTCACTCATGATTTACAAAATCATATGAAGTTATTCTTTCTCAAATATGAGATTTAACATTGTTGAACCAATACTGTAACTTAACCAAAAAATGTCCTGCAATTTTTTTTAAAGTCACATGCAGATCTCCATACTACAGGAAGCTCATAATTTGCAATGCAACGTAGTTTAACTGACATACCTACTCTCTGTTGCAGTTTCAAAGGCTATAGCTTATGACCTATACAGTGACTTCCCTCTTCTTTTGGCTCATATCTTACTCCTTACTTAATGTTCGTCTATCCAGTTATACATATGAAATTTTGCTTTTCGATAAAAGGACCTGATTTTGTATTTAAACTTTTTATACAACAGGACCATTCAAGTTTATGCTATTTTACTACTTAACAAAGTTACCTCTAGATAACTCCCCATTCTTCAACAACTGAAAGTTAAGCAGTTCTGATACTTAATGTTATCTTTCAACAAGGCATATTCACTGACTAGGTAAAACGGTCCACTGTGATGTGGGCTATCTACAAAGAAGCTCCTCATATTTAAGGGTGGAGCCCTAACTCAGCTAGTAGATTATTGTAGACTATGATGAAGACTCATTATTCATCTTTAATTTGGTTTTGTTTTTTCCTGCTAGTGTGTTACACACGTTCACAATCTTATTTGTCTTCAAGATAGGGTCTCACTGTGTATTGAACTCCTAGGCTCAAGGAATCTTCCCGCCTCAGCCTCCCAAGCAATTAGTACTACAGGTGCCTTCCACCATGCCTGGTATATGTTCACAATATTTATTGAGAAAAATCAAACATAATATAGCCAGAAAAATGATAAAACTCTGGTTGGCTTGTAGTCAAAGCTACAATTTTTGTCAATTATTTTATGTCCCTCCAATTAAATATTTTGGATTTAATGCTATTTCAGCCTCTACCTTTTCCTTCCCTAAAATTAATAGGCTACCTTTGGTTGTTTATACTCTGTGGCCATCTTTCTACCTACCTATTTTGGTCTGGTAGTGGTCTCTGTGCAACTCAGTAATGGCTGTGATGTGTATTAAAAAAAAAAAAATTCAAGAACTGGTCAACTCTCTTTTCCTAAATATCATTTCATTCCCTTTTTCTATCCATATTATATTAAACAAGATTACTTAAAAACAGATTATGTTAAAAGTAATTCACTTGTTATTCTCTTGACCATGTACAATTAATTTTCAGACAGTGCCAAAGTTCAAGAAAGAAGTCAGTCAGGAAGAATAAATATTTCTATCTGGAGAAAAGGAAGCTTTATCAAATCACACTACACATATCTCTGTAAGATCAGTACTATGCTGAGATAAAGTAAAAAAATGTTGGGTCACCTGTCCCCTTCAAACTATGAACAGATTTTAGTATTTTAAGTAGCAATCATGTTTACTAGAATGTGTTATCATTCACATTCTCTTGTCTGAGTCAGGAATTTTAGCCCCCCTCTCTCTTCTATATTAGTTTGAACTGTCTTCTCAGTTTTTCCCCCCTTTCTCTTCTTTGAGGACAATTATCTTATTTTTCAAGTTGTTTTACATTGGGGCTCATAACAACTAACCACTTAAGTGCCAAATGATCCACAACGCATCAGACATTGAATTTTATAATTCTCACTTAATTCTCACATTAACCTGGCAAGATGGACAGTGTTATCTTTACAGATGATGAAATTGAGGCTCAATGAAATTACAAAACTTGTCCAAGCACAGGTAGAAAGGAACCATACTAGAAAATGTCAGAATCAGGAATTCAACCCACTACGGTCCAACTCCAAAGCCCATGCTCTTTCTATTCTACCATTCTTTCATACAAACGTTTCTTTATGCCTAGCTGACAGCTAATTAGGTCTCAGACTGGTAGTTTTTCAAAAAACACTAAGGCTATCAAACTACATTTTAGCTTCTTTGTTGTAATTCTGTCTTCCCCATTTTTCTTTTATCATTTATTTGATATTTTATCAATTTTTGAGAAACTACAGCGTTCTCTGGTAAGTAAAAAATTTCTCAAAGTGACAACATTTGAATCAACGACTTAGATAGAACTCTATAAGTCTATCACACAGAATCCTTGATTACTAAATTTAGTTTTCTCCTAAACATAGTAGCAATAATAGCATCATATTTTATAATTATTTATTGAACACTTAAGTCTAACATTCTTAACCATTTATTGAGAAATTTTAAGTAACATTTAGAATTATCTACATCCAGAGCTATCTGGCTATGTATGGAGACTATCTGTCTAAGGAAGAATGTCAAGGTAAACTTGCCCCCTTGACCACTTCGCGTGTGTAGGTGCAACCCAAATGGATTTATTTAACATATGAATTTAATAAACCATTTTTCCTGGCAATAATTAAACTAGTCTTAAGAGGAGTGATTAAATAATTACAAAGTCTCCTACTTAAGAGGACAAGGCAAAGTTAACATAATGAGAAAGCCAGAAATATCGTTTTTTTGTAAACCAAGACGACGTGAAAGTAAGTGTCAAGTATCTAGGGAAGATCCTAACTAGCTTCTCACCATCCCTTCCAGCTCAACTCGAATAGTCAAGCAGTTTTACAGCACTTTTATCTTACCTCTCTTTATAAATTCACAACTCCAAAGCATCCTTCCTACAATGCCTTTGGAGAGAAAGGCTTTAAGAACTACAGTCTGAAGAAGCTTGTATAAACACAGCATCCTAGCCTTACCATGGCTGAGCACAAGTTAAAGTACTATTTGGCTGACAACGTTTATGGGATCAGAGAAAAAGAAGAGGCATCCCTCTTTAGGTGCCCTCACCATTACTGAAATGTATCTCGACACTTTTTTGTATCCTTCTTCCCACAGACACAGTTCAGGCCTGTGGATCCTTCACATTTCCCAACCCCATGATGAGCCTTAGTCTAGTCCTTCCTCCTTAGAACTAATGTGCTAAGAGTATGATAATCTGAAACTCAAAAGGAAAGGGAATAAATCTTCTGAAATCTTATTCTATTTGCTTCTCTTAATTTTTTAAGAGCATAATTACTTCTGGTATATTGCTTTAAAATGTTTCCTCTCATTAAACATGAAATTTTGGAGGGAAAAAAGGCATTTAAGTTATTAAGAATTTACTTAAATTTTGACAGCTTTCTAAATTCTAAATTTAAAACATCAATAGGAGAATCAATCTTGGTGACAGTTAATGAGTTAACCAAAAACAAAACAAAAAACCCTACTGATCTATTATTTCACTGCATTCCAATTATGAAAGACCATCAATCTTATTCTCCTGCTTTTGTGGATACTAAAGAAGCAAAAGCATTCTCCAAAGAAAACATTTTTTTTAATGTGAAACAAGTGTTCTACAAAAAATGAAGCTAACCATCTCTGTTAACAACTACTGAAAAGACAATTCTTTACTGTAAAATATTAAATGCTATGAATGTCAGTCTTTCTAGAAAAAAAGCCAAATGAAAGAAAAAAGGTATAATCCTGTATTTTCAAAATTAAAGTAGTTGGCAGATTAAAACATGAAAACAAACAACTTTTTGATAGACTCTTAAATACATACTACTTACATGACACCTTGTAGAACTTTCTGGGGATCTGGGTCAAATAGCCTGTCAACATAGTGGCGACTGCTAGCTGTTACTTCCTAGAAAGTGGGGGGGAAAAATTATGACATCTGAAGCCATGCAAAATCACAAATTCACAGCATCACCCACAATATCAAGTGACTAGATAATTTAACTTATGGTAGATGCATTAAAATTTCTATTAAATACTTAATTTTGCCTCCTTATGATATGAAATACTTAAGCAGGTGACTTTTCTCTCTCAGGTATCAAAATAATGGGAAACTGTAGTGTTCAGTTCAAGATGTCAAAGATCAGTATTTTTCTTCTAAGAATGCCCAATTTCAAAAGTAAGAATGTCCATAGTATACTATACATTTTACTAAGTCTTGAAACTAGCAGGAGAGTTTAGAAAATCAACATAATTACAAAGCACATAACTGTTCATTCAAAAGAATCATCAGGAAGATATTAAGTATATTTTTGTAAATATTTTATTAAATTAGTCTGAAAAAAGGCTCATGATAAACAGCGAGAGAAGAAAGAAGACACTTAGTTCTCACTAAACGCATAGCTAGACAGTGGGACCTTTGTGGTGAGCTCTGCAAGTTTTGCCAACAGAAGATCTAGGCATGTATGTTAGCATATATACTTAACAGCAAGCTAAGTTTATTCATTAACTGCTGGATGTCACATATGTGTGATTAATAGACAGGAATGTTACTTCTGTAATTTAGCACACACGGAAGGACAAAAATCTGGCTCTCAGCCAGGGAAAAGAGTAAGGGCTTCATGAAATAGTCTGTAAGAGGTAGTCTAGGTAAAAGAGAAAATCCTTAGGCTAACGTAGAGGAGCTGCACTGCTGGGGGCAGAAGTATAAATAAATAAAGGAAGAAGTTGTCACACTTTCTGTGAAGAAAAACAATTACGAATTAGGGTGATTTGTAGGCCACCAAGCTGTCTCAACTGAACTGGATAAGGGTGGGCAAAATTAGAAAGAATACAAAGGGGAAACACTTACCTCCTTTTCATTTGTATTGTGGAGTTTGTTCTATTATGTATTTCTTGTAATATTTATTTTAGAGGATAACCCTTTTTTAATATTTAATTTTTGACACTTAACATTATTTAAAACAAATAACCCGTATTTAAGAATCAGAGAAAAGGTTGTGTCCCCTGCTCGTTTTTTCCGATGCCTGCTGAAGTATCTTTATATACTACCCCCCACCATTAGCAATGAATTATTATAGGGAGGAAAAAATAACTTTTCCAATTTACTCTGAACTCCAAATCAGTGAGAGAGTTAATTACCACGGTACAGTGCCAGCTTAAACTTTTAAGCCACCAAAAATTACCTCTGGAGAACTACACAAACTCTAGTTTTCTGATAATATAGTTAACTAAGTCAACACATATTTTCTTTTTTTCCAAGATGAAGTCTTGCTCTGTCGTCCAGGATGGAGTGCAGTGGTGCGATCTTGGCTCACTGCAACCTCCACCTCCCGGGTTCAAGCAATTCTCCTGCCTCAGCTTCCCAAGAAGCTGGGATTATAGGTGCACACCACCACATCCAGCTAATTTTTGTATTTTTGGTAGAGACAAGGTTTCACCATGTTGGCCAGGCTTTTCTCAAACTCCTGGGTTCAAAGAATCCTCCTGTCTCAGCCTCCCAAGTAACTTAACTACAGATGTGTGCCACTACATCCAGCTCAAATGCTTGCTTTTAGCATGCACTTCATTTGTAAAGAATAAACAGTGGAACAAAGAAGCAAAAGTGATTAAAATTCTTGTGCTCACCAGGATACCATTAAAGCACCTGCTAACAGAATCTGTTTTCCTCAAAATAACAGGATCACAGAGTTAGAAGGACTCTCAACAATAATCTGCCCACTCCCTCGGTTTACAAATTTGAGGCTTCTCATGATCTTTACCCGTTTGTCAGATCATCAAATGTAAAATAAAGACACAAATAGCTGTACAAACATATTGAGAAACAATATATGAAGAGCAAAAGCTAGAGCAGAACTGAAAAAAGCATTATTATAATATAAACAGGTAAGTTTTGCCACTCCATTTGACTACAGGTTTTCTGAGCTTTCTAACATAGTAAGTTCTTCTAAGTACCTAAGACCCTCCTAACCAGAGATTTGATTTTGATTTTACTGTTTTCTCTATCTTCACTCTCTATAGCTCCAAATCTCTTACCTGTCAATGACATGTATCTTAACATAAAATTCCCCCATTAATAGCAACTCTCTTTGCTGCTCTGTGCCAGGTTCATTCAATATAACATGCACTGAGTACCTAAACAAGGCACTGAGGAAGGCATTAAAAATAAATTTTTGTTTAATAAAGAAAAATTTAGTAACACACAGCCCCTGTTCTCAAGAATTCATATTGTTACCATGTTTACATGATTATTTCCCTATTAGAATATAAGAATTACGGTATACACAACATAAAGGAAGGACTAAGGAGGGCGTTTGTAAACTGGGAGAATCAGGGAAGGCTTCTTTCTGGAGTTGGCTTTGGAAAATGAGTAAAAGTGTACCAGAATGGACAAGCAAAGAGAGAAAGAATCAATGTCACAATCATAGCCATGGGACATGTGAAGCCAACACAAGTAAACGATCAGCAAGTATAATAGTTACTAGCACTGAAAACAGGATAGAGAGGCAACTACAGAATGTAAAACACAAAACGCTAACCAATAGGTGGCTCATAATTGGAGATTTCACACTGCCTTTTGGTCAAAGTTACATGCTAAATGCCAAAGAAGGTGTAAGAGGACATTAAAGCAGAGCCTTGCATTTAGGAAACTTACAATCTATAAAGGGTTGTCATGTACACACAAAAATAATCTTATAAGCTGCTCAGACAGCAAGCAAGCTGAAGGGATATGATCACTTACTCAACATTATTTTACTCTGTACTTTCACCTAATGTATTCATTCATCTGTATAGGACAATTCTGGTATTTCACTGCTTTTCCTTTTAGATCAGATCACCTCTCTCCTCCCAGTCCACTTCTCTCTCCTTTCAGAAGGCAGGCTAGAAATGTAAGAGCTAGGAAGAGAAGGCAATTTGTACAGGTATTAAAATGGGTTAAGAGAAAGAACATCTAAAAAGGTGACATTTGGGCTGGGCACGGTGGCTCATCCCTGTAATCCCAACACTTTAGGAGGTCGAGGCAGGTGGATCAAGAGGTCAAGAGTTCAAGACCAAGCTGGGCAATATGGTGAAACCCCATCTCTACTAAAAATACAAAAAAAAAAAAAAGAAAAAAAAATTAGCTGGGTGTGGTGGCGCATGCCTGTAGTCCCAGCTACTCAGGAGGCTGAGGCAGAAGAATCGCTTGAATCTGGGAGGTGGAAGTTGCAGTGAGCTGAGATCATGCCACTGTACACTAGCCTGGGTGACAGAGTGAGATTCTGTCTCAAAAAATGAAAAAAGAAAGGTGATACTTGAGCAAAGTCTTGAAGAAGGTGAAGGAGCAGAGACTATGCACACATCTAGGGATAGAGTTTTTTTAGGCAAAAAGAACAGCAAATATAAATGTCCTAAAATGGGAAGTATCTGTCATAATCAAAGACTAGGAGGCCATTATAGCTGCAGCAGAATGAGCAAAGGAGAAATCGGCAGGAGATGAGGTCAGAGAACAGGGGCCAGATGGTAAAGAGCTGCTGTCCAGTAAGCCAGCCACTAGCCTCATATGGCATTTGAAATTTGAAATGTGACTAGGAAGTAAATTTTGTTTATATTTTAAACTTTAAAATTAAGAAATCAATATGGGATTCAGTTATTTCAAAACTTTTAAGAATGATTTGGAACTACTTGGGTATATGAGTCATATTTTCAATTATAAATGTCATGACACCTAAGTATGAATCAGGTATTTCCAATAAAAACTTAGCATCCAAATTGTATAAACTACATGCCAGATATTGAAGACTTGCTACTTGCTATTTTTGAAACTAATTTCATTAATAACTTATTACACAGATTATATGCTGAAATAATATTTTGCTTTACTGGTTTAAATAACATTAAAATCAACTTATTTCCTTTATACTTTGGATAGCTAATGGCTGCTAGAAAATTTTAAATTATATATGTGCCTTGCATTTTTCTACTAGTATAGAGCTTTGTTGGTCATTGTTAGGATTTTGATTTTTATGCTCCAAGATGGGAAGCCATTAGAGGGTTTTGGGAAATAGAGACATGATCTGACTTATGTGTGTACTTATGTTTTACTTTTAGTAGAGATGAGGTCTCAACTTTGTTGCCCAGACTGATACCAAATTCCTGGCCTCAAGTGATCCTCCCACCTTGGCCTCCCAAAGTGCTGGGATTAGAGGTGTAAGCCACAATACCCAGCCCTGACTTACGTTTTTAAAGAATCACTCTGATTGCAATTTAGGAACAGACATGTGTGGAGAAGGAGAAGGGACATAAGACAAAAGCAGGGAGACTAGGAAGGAAGTTATTTCCATCATCAGAAATGCGATAATTTCACAGACAATGGTAGCATGGACTAGACCAAACACTGTAGAAGATGTACTCAGATTCCAGACAAATGCTGAAGTTATAAAATGGATATGCTGTTAGACTTGATGTGGGATATGAGAGAAGAAAGGAGCCAAGGATAACACTTATTTCTCTGACCACATAAAAAGACTGAGACTGAGTTGCCAGTTAATGAGATGAGGAAGGCTGTAGGAGGTTTGGATTTGAGTGGGAAGATCAAAAGTTCAGTTGTGGACATGTTAGGATTCAGAATCTTATTAGACATCCAAAGGAGGATGTCAAGTTGGACATGCAAGCCTAGAGTTTAGGAAAAAGTTGTGGGCTAGACAGGTAAATCAGAAATTGTCGGCATATTATGAAATTAATTAATTAAGAGAGTGATCCTGGATACCGCAAGACCTGAAGACTGTGCTCTGCAGTAGTCAAACAAGCAGCCAGTGTAGAGTGAAGAAATCCAGAATGTTGAAGCAAGGGAATATTTCAAAAGGGGAGTAACTATCTATGTCAAATCCTAGTGATGTGTAGCTAAGATGATAATTAAGATCTGACCTT